TGCAAAGCGCGCTTTAGCTTCCACTCTCCGCACAAACTATTGGATATAGCGCACATTTATCTAGGTTTAACGTTTAAACATTGTTATATGCTTGAACTGTTTTATATCTATAGATTTTATTTTAGGCAAGTCATGATGATTTGAGAAGGCTAAATTGATCAAACATAGGCTCGCTTGGTCGTTACTTTAAAAAAACAAAAACTTATATTTAACGAACAAAAAATGCTCCAGACGTTTTTTTTAAATTAACTTCATTAAGAAACGAAATATAATCACTTTGCTATTACATATAAAACTGAACTATTTTAATAGCTGAAATAGTATTATAAGCTGTTTTGGGAGAAGGGGAAAAAAGACGTGCTCGGGTCGGGCTCGGGCCGGTAATTCTGATAAGCTTGTCGGACAGGGGCCGGGCTAGAGCCTACATTTGAGGCCCGTGCAGGGCTCTAAAAAGACCTTCAAAATGATTTATGATTTGTTGTAATCGGACAAAAAATGACTGAGCTACACCCGTTTGTAGTCGATAGAGTGAAGTCCTCCGTCTTTTCTTATTATTAATTACTATATTAATAATCACAATACAGCTATTTTTTATTTTATCTTTGCTATTATAAATAAGAACAGATGCAAAAAACAGTAGAACAAATAGCCTAGAAAGAAACAAATAATGCATTACTTTATCATTTTATAGCCTATCTAAACTAAAGCATTCATGTACGAAAAACAAATAATCAAATGTAAAAATAACTTAAGTGTGTTCATTACAAATAAATTGATTATTAAAACTACAAAAGCAGTTCAATGAAGTGCAGCGAGTGATTCCCTCTTTTCTTTTATTGTTAGATTAACATTAATGATACAGACGTCCTATACTGTAATGCATGGATCTAATATAATGTTACACATCAGATGTTTTCCCCCAACAGTTCCCCAAGCGTTCACTTAAGACAGAACAGATTATGTTTGCTTGAATACTGAAATATTGTAATTCTGTATATGTGTGTATTTATCGGGATCGCACACCATTATATGCACGCACTTCGGATGATAGTCAGCGCGAGAAGCGAGCGGAGAAAAAGTAATCCTCTCAGAAAATGTACAAATAAAGATAATTTTAGTTTTTTTTGCCTGTAGCTCAAAATTGCCCGTGCAAATTTACACTCATTTTGCCAGCACGGGTCACATATGACGTCATTAAACCGCGGAGAAGTACCAAATTGTCGCAGTTTTAATGAGGCACAGAACGCAATGCCTCAGAAAATCCGATCTGCCTGTTTACATGACAGTCGCATTGGCACATATCTGATTTATATCCGATTTATTTCCACATATGAATGAGGCCTGAAACCGATCTAGAAATATTCGAATGCATGCGTTTTTTTCCTGTTTACACTGTCATTGAACGGATCCGATCTGTGTCACATATGAGCAAAAAATCAGAATTGGGTCACATTTAACTGACAGTGTAAATGGGGCCTTATAGGCAAGCTTAAGATTCCTTTCTAGGTGTCTGATTGTCACTGGTTTTATATCTTGATAAATAGGAGGATTACACCACAGATGAAGAGATGCTCACAGTGCAGGGTGTGAAAGGCGGAGCAGGTGGGATTTTAGACTTGCTCAAGGCAAGCAAACAGGTGGCGGGTCTTGATTCTGCACTGAGGTACTTCACACGCACATTTTTATACTACATGCTGATCATTACTAGCCTTTATCTCAAAGTAAAATATGTAGTTATGTACTTGCTGTTAGGCTCAATTCTATTAATTTTCCCCTTATCATCAAGTGAGGAAGCACCAGCCTCCCCCAGCACCCGTGATGCTATCCAGGGCATGCTCTCGATGGCCAACCCTCCATCTTCCTCATCCTCTTCCTCCTCCTCCTCCTCCTCTCCTCTATCTATCTCTGGAGGAGGTGAGATGCTGGGGCTTATGAAGGAGAAAGGAGGGAGAGCTGGGTGGATAAGTGGAGTCAAGAAGAGTGAGAAAAAGACCTCATTTCAGAGGCCAGGAAAACGGCCTATCAAACGTCCAGCACGTCACCTCAGTGATGAAGAAAGCTTGGATGAACAGGAGACCTTGGGTACCTGTTTTAAAGACTCTGATTATGGTGAGTTCACAGATTCTTGAACATTTACACCAGTGTTGCTAACATACTTAGCAGAGGAAATACTGCGACCCACAGTGATTCTGTTTAAAGGAGAATTTCCACCCTCTTCTGCAGTGTATCCATCACTAGAATCTGACGAGGAGGATCACATAAGCAAGTCAAAAATGAAAAGAAAGCGAAACTGGGATGATACACCCTGGAGTCCTAAAGGTATATGCGTTTATGATTTATGATTTTATAGCATTTTTTTTCTAAACTGCTCTAAACCTCATTTCTTCACACGTCCTCAGCCCGTGTGACCCCTACACTGCCTAAGCAGGAGCGGCCGGTGAGAGAGGGTGCAAGGGTGGCTTCTGTAGAAACTGGGCTTGCAGCTGCTGCTGCCAAACTGGCACAACAGGTGAGCTTTTGTCCCACGCTATGCCAGAACTTCTATAGATGTGGACCATTACATACCATTACTTTGGATGTGCATCTTTAAAGGGATAGTCCACCCAAAAATGAAAATACTGTCATTAATTACTCGCCCTCATGTCGTTCCAAACCCGTAAGATCTTTGTTCTTCTTCGGAACACAAATTAAGATATTTTTGATGAAATCCGAGAGCTTTCTGACCCTGCATAGACAGCAAGGGTCCTACCACGGTCAAGGCCCAGAAACGTAGTAAAAACATCTTTAAAATAGTGCATGTGACATCAGTGGTTCAACCGTAATTTTATGAAGCTATGATACTTTTTGTGTGCAAAAAACAAAAATAACAACTTTATTCAACAATTATTCTCTCCCGAGTTACCATCTACCGCCATTATTGAGAGTAACACGACGCATGCGCGTGATGCTGCTGACGTTGAACACGCATGCGCTGCACCTTGTTTACGAGTAGAGGAAATCACGTGCATGCATTGCATTACTCTCAATAATGGCGGTAGATGGTAACTCGGGAGAGAATAATTGTTGAATAAAGTTATTTTTGTTTTTTTGCACACAAAAAGTATTATCATAGATTCATAAAATTACGGTTGAACCACTGATGTCACATGCACTATTTTGTCGATGTTCTTGGTACCTTTCTGGGCCTTGACCGTGGTAGGACCCTTGTTGTCTATGCAGGGTCAGAAAGCTCTCAGATTTCATCAAAAATATCTTAATTTGTGTTCCGAAGATGAACGAAGGTCTTACGGGTTTGGAACGACATGAGGGTGAGTAATTAATGACCGAATTTTTTTTTTTCAAAATATCCTTTAAATGTAGTCAATATTTGTTCATGTCATGTTCATTTTAGTAACTTTTACTAAAATGGCATCTAATTTTAGTCTTTGAAAAATAACATTTTATTTGACAAGGAACTGCAAAATTAAACTAAATATTAACTTTTTAAATATATATGACATTGTATATATTAATTGACACATAAAAACATGTAAAAACCTGATCTCCTGAAATAAAATTACGCTTTAGTTATTCATTGTCCATGTTTTATGTGTTTTAGTTCATTGTTGCAGAAAAAGTGCTGTCACAACATGATCTACAGCATGTTTTGACTAATCGATTTTTAAAACAAAATTTTTTTTCTTTTTTTTCTACAAAAAACATTACCATTAAACGTACACTATGGTTCAAAAGTTTGTAGTCGTTAAGTAAAAAAAAAAAAAAAGTCTCTTGTGCTCAAACGCTGCATTTATTTAATCAAAAATACAATAAAAACGGTAATATTCTGTAATATTACTACAATTTAAAATAGCTGTGCTGCTTAATATTTTTGTGGAATCTTACTGACCCCAAACTTTTGTATATAAACATTAATAATATTTTTGTCAAATTTTTATCAATGCTATAATTTAATATAATTAAAATGATATAATTTTTGTCATTATGCTCATTTTTTTGTCTTGTCTTTATCGTTGATGATCAAAAAACGCGGTTTTCTCAGTATTTTCCTTGACAAGATTAACACTGAGATAAACATCTTGTTACTTTAATATCAGGAACAGCAGAAAACCATAACCAAGAGAAAATACACCAAGAAGAAGGTACCTCAAGAGAAAGTACATTCTGCAGCTTCCCAACTCCAGTGCCAGCCGGACTCTGCACCTGTGTCTCCTCCTCTGCCCTCTGAGCCTCCTGTGGACTGCATAGTTGAGGAGAGGAGAGTGGAGGTGTACTCTGCCAGCTTGCTGGACCACGAGTACACAGCAGGACCAGGTCCGTTCAGCCCAGGGAAGAAGGTCCCTCAAGAGAAAGTACATTCTGCAGCTTCCCAACTCCAGTGCCAGCCGGACTCTGCACCTGTGTCTCCTCCTCTGCCCTCTGAGCCTCCTGTGGACTGCATAGTTGAGGAGAGGAGAGTGGAGGTGTACTCTGCCAGCTTGCTGGACCACGAGTACACAGCAGGACCAGGTCCGTTCAGCCCAGGGGGCCCAAGAGGAAGTGGTGCCATGGCCCCTGGCGTGTTCCTGACTTCAAGACGCCCCTCACTCTCTCCCCAAAACAGCAGCAGTTATTCTCCCTCTGCCCCCTCACCTGGAGGGCTGGCTACTCCAACATCAGCAGGAGTGTGTCAAGGTAACTAGATTTACCGTACATTACCCATAAAAGGATAAGTGTTTGGAATCACATTGAAATTTTTTCACTCTTCTTTCTCACAGGAAAACGTCCAAAGAAAGGACTTGCTACGGCTAAACAGAGACTGGGAAAGATTCTGAAAATACATAGAAACGGCAAGCTTCTCCTGTAGTTTGATAATATGGAGAGGAGACTGCAGGGCACAACAGAGGAGGAGAAAACTAATAAGGATCAGAGAGGACTTGAGTGATTGTGGTGTTAATTTATGTGACTGTTTTATGGTTAATGTTCTGCTAGCCTGGTCTTTATTTGCTTCATCGGGATGAAAAGTGAAAAGAATGGTAACTTGCTGTGAGAAAATTCAATTGAAATCCATTTAGCATGGTGTTTTAGAATAGAAATTCTGTTTGAAAAGCAAATAGAGCTAAACCGACGGATACAATAATGGAGTGATGACTGTATTGCTAATTGTTTTTTAATTGCTCCACCTCTGAAAACGAGCTGCGTACATGTACACTTCCCTTTGTTTCATAGTTATTAATTGACTTTTAGTTTTAACATTGTAAATTTCTAGAAAAAAAAGCTGAATTCTGAGGAGCACTTGATGTTAGATCCAATTGCCTAAAGCCATTGCAAACAAAAAGATTACATTGTTCAGAAGATCTCTGACTGGTTTATTTGAAAAATTGACTTCTCAAAAAAATAGGATTGAGGTTGTTGTTTGGCCTGAATTGTCAAAAGTCAGTTTATAAATGGCACACTTTCTCATGGCTATTTGTCCCGGTCCAATCTCCTCCAGAAGCCATGCATATTATTTGTTTACATGCTTCATTTAGTATCTATTCATATCAAATTATTTTATACCATAGAAGGCAATTTGATACACAATTGACTGTAATTGCTGTAGATTAAGTCCTGTAGTAACGTCTCTTTGCTTGTTAAAATGTTTTTACTGTAATACTAACACATTTTATCAACAATTGTATTTTAGATGTGTATATACTTTAAGTTTGTCACGTTTTGTTTGTTTTCCACTTAGCATGGGCAGCATAGTGTCCTGTCACCATTTGGCCAGGGTTGTCTTTGCCATCTATAGTACAGCTTCATGTTTAATTGTAGAGGTTGAGTTCAGTGCTGGGCACGTTTTAGTAATTGTAAAGAACACAGAAATTGACTTTAGTGCAGTTTGAGATCATATGGCTGATTCTCTGTAGGTTTGGTGTTTTATTATTATTTTTATTATTATTAACTTTTTTTCTTTAGAAAGAAAGAAATTGCATTGGAATCTTTCTTGACACCTTGTACAAAAATACATGTTTTGGGGTAAGTAATAGCATACAAGTTGTTTAGTTCAGTTTTATTTGTATAGGATAATTATGCTGTTATTTTTCATTGACGCTTATGATATTAGCAATGTGATGAAGTTAATGAATTCTATTGCTACTTCAATGTTATTGTTCTTCCCCCCCACTTATCAATATTAATTTTAATGTCAATATACTTTAGTTTTGCTTTTTTTATATAATACTCCATTCTAGAAGAGTAAAATGTAACATTTTCTTGTAATTGTATGTAATGGCAACAATATTTTTTTAGTCTTCTCCTTTGACCATTATGTCAGAACCAAAAAATATTGATAAATTAGTGGGCCAGTGTAAATATTATTATTATTATTTTTTTCCTTCTTTTGTCCCCCCTAAAAATGTCACGGATCTTGTCATCATGCTATCCAAATGTAATTAGAAACATGTTTTGAGGTTTGTAGAAATTTGTTTTGAACGTGAAATAACAAGACAGTTGTTCGAATATTCTGGTAAAACTATTCTTTTTTAGACATTGTTTTCAGATGATTCTGAAATTATTCTGGATATTTCTGTAATATTTTGAGTTTTTTTGTACATTTATTTGATTTGTCATCTTCTTCACATCGTCTCTTAATGTTGCTACTTACACCCATATTTTACTAAACATCTGTGCCTTCAGTAAAGTCCCAAACATAGCGACCTCTCTTACTGAAACTGTGCATATCTGCACATCTTTTGATACTAGATTTAATTTAATGGCATCTCTTGTCTACTGAGACAGCTATTCAGGATTTCTGGCCATTGACATTGAAAAACAGGAATGATGTGAAGCAAGATGTGCAACAAAGGAAGTGTTCAAAAACCTCAAAATATGCGAGGACTGACTTTTAAATATGTTCTTATTAAAACTTACATTTACTTAAGTTATTCTCTTCTTATTACCTGAAGTTAATTGTGTGCATTTTAGGATTTATTTATCTTTTAACCGTTTTCTTGTCTGCTAAAGTTTATTTTGAACAATTAATGTTGATCACACAGTTCCTCTCGGGGTTTATTTTGTAACTAATATCATTTTGATAGAATCGTTTAAAAAGAGCAACAGTAGTGTTCGGAGTTCACATTCAGGACCACTTAAAAACCAAGTCAAATTTGAACCCATTTAATATTTATAATTGGACGTTGTCTTTTGCTATTGTCACCACCTTTGGTTTTTGAAACGGCTTGAGCAGATTTTTCCAAATGACCTCTATTAAAAGATATTTTTTAAAAATTGTTTGCATTTTTGTCATTATACGCCTATTTTCGTCTGCAAGTGTCATGTAGTCTCTCACGTGCTTAGTGGGTCAACTACACATTTACCCGCGAACAAGCTTCTTTGACTAGTTCAGACGTTAAATTATGAACCAAAATTATTATATAAATTATGAAATGGCACAAACGGGATTAGTCACGTGATTTAAAGCTGCATCTCCGTTGCCATTGTAGTGTTAATGACAGTCAGCGATTGGCTGATGCCACGTCTCCGTCAGCCAGTCAAAACGCGCGCTTTTTACAAACTACTCCGGAAGTCAGCACGCTAGTGTTGTTTTCTAGTCTGGGCCAGGAGAGAGTGGCTTGGTGTGGAAAGTCCTGTAGCTTGAAAATAACATAAAAAGCTGTAGTTGTCGCCTACTGCTTAAGCCCAGGTCTTGGTACGTATGTGTGGGTTATTAAAAATATATACCTACCGTCTTATTCACATTGAATATGACTTTATACGTAACAACTAGGTACTCAAGAGTTTGCGTATTAGCAGTTTTCTGACGCTGTACACTGCTAGTTATATAGTAGTGAAGTTTTTAATGATTGAGCGAACATTTCTTCGTTAAGGAACGTTTTGTGACCACTTTCAAGAGCCGTCTTTTTTATAGGCACTGAACCCCTCTCGAGATGGCGTCCTCAAACACTCTTGAGACCCCAGAACAGAAGTCAGCAGGATCATTCAGGGTGAACTGATCATGAATTAAACATATTTTACCCTCTAATTTGCAGTACTGTAATGGATTTGATATCACCTTGCTCAGTTTTTGAATAATTCATTAGTCATTTGTTTTGTACTTTTTTTTTAAACCAATAATAATCAGTTTAATGACTGAATATTTCATGTAAGTATTAAAATGGAATAATCTTACAGTGATGCTATGGTGTTGATTTCTGAACCATTTCTTTCAATGCCATTAGGATCTTGAAGCATCAAGAGTTGAAGACAAAAAGTGCTTCCTCTAAAAGAAGATCTGAGAATTTGGACCCCAATGCCTTTGCTGAAACTGGAAAAGGAGTCGGTAAACTCAAAGGTGTCAGTAGGCTTCCAGTCCTTGCCAAATCTCTGCAACCAGCTCTAAGTGAGCTCTCCCAAAATCCCAGTCACAGCAGATGGGAACGGAGTGCTCTTACAGTAAGGATACCACAAAAGTGTTATTTTAGTTTTATTTATATACTTGTATATTTTTTATTAATATTATTAGAATATTACAATTAGCTTGTATTTTTATATTTCAGTTTTTATTTACATTTTAGTAATTAATATTTTAGTAACGTGATTTTGACATGTAAATACATTTTTTTACAAATACATGTAAATGTTTTTTAACATTTCTATATATATCTTTAATTTATTCTTTTCATTTCAGTTTTAGTTTTAGTAATTTTAGTACTTGAACTAATCAAAAATTAGAGATGTTTCCTAGGCAACTACCTGAAGTAAGTTTAAGTTCTAATTCTAATATTTACATTTTTATTTCAGCTTTGTTTTGAATACCAAAAATGTTTAATAGTTTTAGTTAACAGTAACTACACTGTGACATAATGATTTCTTTTTCATTTGTCTTCAGAGTATAGCTCAGAAAAAAAGGATCTACACCAAACCTGTTCCTTTCAATTTGTCCCAGTCACGCACACACAATCAGAGAAACACAGCCATTCCTCCAGGAAAAGTGGCCCTGACGCCTTCTACCCGACTAACACCAGGGGCAAAAGTGAGGAACTTGAATCAAAGTGCCAAAACTGAAACTTCAAGTAATAAAGCTATGACATCAGGTGTCCTCAGGGCTCAGGCTAACAAATCACATCAACTGCATCCTGGTAGTCATGCAGAATATGTGGCATCAAATAAAGACTCCAGTGATGTTCACCCATCTTCACATGAATCCGGATGCTGCAGTCACACTGATTTAAGTTCACGTTTAGGTAGCATCACTCTTGTACAATCTAAGATTCCTGAAGACTCAGGTTTGAGTAATTTATGTAAAACTTCACTCATTAAAGTAGATGTTAATTCTGATAATCAAGCACCAAAGGACAAGCACTGTCTCCCATCAACAACACAAAGCCATGTAAACACTAAAGGTGAGTGACATAATATCAGATCTTTTCTTATTGTGTCAGTGTTCAAGTTCGATCTTAACAGTGTTCATAGATTTTCTTTTAATTTAGCCACTGGTTGTTTATAATTAATGTATGTAAATATGTGTCAAATCTTTCATCAGCTGTGCACAATGTCCTCCCATGTGAGGGATCGAGTGCTTTTGGAGCACAATGCATGATGCCACGTTTATCTACCTGCCCCCCAGGACCAGGAACCTTCAATAATCTGGTTAGAAATTGTAGATCTTGGTAATAAAACCAAAGTGTTTACTGACCTTTCATGATGATCATGACAGTTGTCTTTTCAGTCTACTATGTGCTCTAGTGCTCATGTATTTTGATCTTGTAGCCTCAAAGAGTTGTGAAGAAGAGTCATAGCGTTGATGTCATCGCAGGTTAGTACCTTTTTAAAGACTCAAACTTTCATCAGAATCACAGAATGTAAGCTTTTTCTTTCTCCTATCATCTCAAGACAAATCTGGGCCGTTTTCCCCTGACCCATGAGCACTACGTAGTATTCTACAGAATGATGGAATGAGACTCGGGGAGCACATTGGAGCAACACCCAGAGCATCAACTTGTACTACTGGCAGAGGAACCTCTATTTATTCTGTGAGTCCATTCCATTGTCCAATGTCCCTTCACACATTGATAGGGATGTAACGATTAACTGCGAGCCGGTTGAAAATCGATTCAAATATGTGACGATTCAAATCGGTTGAGATGCTAAACAAATCGCGATTCATTTAGGTGTAGGAGTTTATATGAATGTATGTCTGAGGGGAACTTACTGTCTTTAGAAAAGTTTAGATGGTATTTTTTCTTTTCATCTTGCCTCTGTATAATGCATATGAAAGTTAATGAGTTCAGCGCTGCTTTGCTTACAGTGGAAACCAGGAAACGGTTTAAGCGCCACCTGCTGGCAGAGAGCGAATCTGCATCTCATTCAGCTTTGCTGTTTCATGCAGATATTTTTATTTATAGTTTCA